TGCAACAAGCCCACAAGAGCCAGCAAAGCAGGGTGGATAAAAATCAATGATTTAAAAAAAAAAAAAAAATCGGATTTTTTGGATAAGTTTTTTTCTCAAAAAGCATTTCATCTAAAGATACATTATAGCTCAAAGATATCTCATCATGGAAGAGGGATTATAAATTCTAATTCTATAGTATGAGACAATATATTCATATAATATTTAAGAAAAGTTTTGTAAATGAGTTCCAATAGTTCATGGATTAGGGACCCAATCTTATGCGGCTTCACAGGCTTCCGGATAGATTATTTAGGTTAATCTTTCTATCTCCCCATGCAGGAGCGGTGCCACGGTTTTTGCCGCCCTAGGCGGCAGCGCTCTTCCTCTGAGCATTCAGGGGGCCTGGGGTCTTCGGTGGCAGGGGTCCTTCTGCTCCGCGTCTTCGGGGCACTTCGGCGGCAGGTCCCGGAGCAAGTGAAGGACCTGCTGCCGAATTTCTGCCGAAGATCCAGAGCGGAAGGACCCCCCGCCGCTGAATTTCCGCCAAGGGCGGCAAAATGCCACCCCCCAAATCCTGCTGCCCTAGGCGACTGCCTAGGGTCGTCTAGTGGAAGCGCCGGCCCTGTCCCCATGGGACTCAGTGCTCAGTCTAAAAGATACCATCAGATATGCTTAGTTTTGCAGTTCTCTAACTGTGGATGTGTGTCTCCAGAGGTAACATGCTTGTTAACAGCAAAAATGTTTTAAAATAAATAATATATAGAGGTGAGAAATAACAGACCTCAACCGTATTGTCCCTTTGCAAATTTGTGTACAAAGAGTCAATCCCTTACGTCTCTCTAAAAGTGCAAAGTTTCAAAAAGTTCAATGAACAGAAGATTGTTGGGGTGGAATAGATCTGGACAAGGAAAAGTCTGGAGATAAATGTGAGAAGCGAGAGACAGACGCTTGTTTTGTTAAAATATTATATGTTTGCTGTTGAAGAAAAAAATCCAGAATACTTAACGTTGTTGTTTTAGTTAAATAAAACAATTTAAAATGTCTGTCTGGTGATGTTCTCCTCCTAATACAGCATGGCAAGAAAATCCTCCAAATATTAATGATTAACCTGTTGAATTGGAGATAGTTCACCTCCCAATTTACCTTTGGTAAATGAAATAACCAATCATTCATTTTCTGATATAACTGTAAAACTAATCTGAAAAGTTTTCAAAATAAATCACTGTTTAAAAATGTATAGTGTGTACCTTCTAAAAATGAAAGCTACATCTCTGAGTTGTGAAGAATATGTATTAAGGTTGTAACAACCAACAAAAATGCACCTTTATGTAGAAAACCATAATTAAATAGATTCTTCCTGACTAGTGATTTAAATCATGATTTAAATCAACTTGATTTAACTCAAATCCACCGTGCAGCAAAGACAGAAATATACTATATTTCTTCAAGATGCATAAGAATTTTCAATACTGTGGCTTATGCCTAGACTGGAAAACAGATGGTAGTTGTCTAAAGTGTGCATGTAGTTCCGTGCTTTTGAAAGTACATATTAAAAATATTGGCTTAATGCCCTTTACAAATTAACTCACAATTTATAAAACTTTGCCTTCCAGTGGTGGCTCCCATAGTTAAAATAGAGACTATTATGACTGATCTAAGACATTCATTCAGAGCACTGGGTACATATACAAAATACATCAACAAAGCTATTCTTTATAAAACTGGACTAACAGCCAAACAAACCCTAAATGCCTTGCAAGTTCCAAATCTAAGACTCTAAAACACTCCACTCTGCTACTGAATGAGACGGCAAAAATTCAAATTGTCCACTACTAGAAATACATTTTTCAGCGTCCTAACAATAGCTGATGGGGTGGAGGCAAAAAAATTCTCTCATGCAGTGCCATGGCGTGAAACTTCAAAAATTCTTTATGTAGCCCTCTGTCTCACCTGAAGAAGAGCTCTGTGTGGCTTGAAAGTTTGTCTCTCTCACCAACAGAAGTTGGTCTGAAGAAAGATATTACCTCACCCACCTTGACTCTCTAATATCCTGGGTCTGACATGGCTACAACTACACTGCATACATGACCTAACTGGGGACATCTGCCACCAGACTACTAGCTGACTATCTACATGCTTCATCTGCCCCAGGTCATCTGCATACAAAGGAAACTTATAAAAACAAAACATGGGCCATTTAGGAGACACCACACTGAAAATAAATGACATAAGCTCATTAGTCTTCTACAACAGTGGTCTGTTAGCAATATGTTGATCTGTCTCAGAAGTAGGAAGTCAAAAGATGTTTAAAAAAGGCCCTTTGACTCAAGAGAGGTGTATCCTGAGCTCAAAACAAAGGAAGCTGTGGTCCTGGATAGAGGTCCAACCTCCATTCTGCCCACTTCCACAGCTAAAGCAAAAAACTGTTCAAGAGTATGGCCAGCTATGTGTGGGGACACAGCAACACCTGAGTTAACCCAGATGAATTACCCACATGGACAATGAAGTCACCCAGAGCAATCAGCTCAGCTCTCAATTAGGGATTCTGCCATGAAACAGGGCAACCTCTACTAAATCCAAAGTAACACCTTCCCTGGACTCTCAATAGATGGACACGCTATCAGATTAATTTTTGAGTCGGAGACCACTTTTGGAAGTAAAATGCAATCAGCACAGCCACACTTCTTAGTTTATGTTCAACCAAATGCCCAACTGCGGTGCTAACAAACATCCTACAATGTCATCCTACCAGGATTAATCACTACAAATGCAAATTTAGGAGCCTCATTCACGACCAACTCAAAGATGGCTGTAACTACCTCTGTAGGTCATTGTCACACTACCCTCCTCCCACAAGAGCAGAATCAGGAGATGGCCAGTAAGACTGAGAGATTTCAAACTCAGTCTCCATGTTGCAACTGATTTAGTCCTGCCTTGTTTCCCGTTGCCTAACACAACAGAGGCCGAGTAACCAGAGATCTTGCAACCAATCCTACTTTCTCTTCCATTTTAAACCTTCATAATTCTAGTTTATATAGCGGCACAACTCTCACAGCTATCCTAAAGCAGCCACTGAAGAAGTGCTGCTGAGATGGGGTAGAAGGATGCTAGAAAAAACACCTGCACCCACCCCAAGCAGACATATCAAGACCATTTATAAATCTCTCAGGTTCTGTTGAAGCCAATGGGGAAAAAAAAACAACCAACAGGAAACCCTCTCCAGAATACAATCAGAACTCTACCAGTCTCTTTACATCCATCCCCATTAAGAAGCTCCACTTCCCATAATTCCCACCCCAGTTTCCACAAGCTTCAACCCCATTTGGCTTATTAGAACTACTTTTTTTTTTTTTTTTTAAGATATATATATATATCTTAAATGAAATGTTTTAAATGAAATGTTTTAAAGTACTTTGAAAATGTATAGCCGTACATAAGTGTTATTTTTGTACACACAAATGAATGAATGTCCACTGCAGAGGGAACAGTATTCTAAGTCTTTGGTTTCTTAACTATTTGTGTGCATGTATTAACAAAGACAACTGCTACTTCTTAAAGCTATAAGGATACTTTTAGAGTTTCTGGGCATCTAAAAGCTTTGGAATTACTTCTAACTTCTTTATTTAGATGTCATTAATGCTAAATTGTTAGAAGCTAGCAATTCCACTGCAGAATCTGCAACCTACAAACAAGTTTGCACCTTTTTTGATGAAGCTTCAGATATTAGGGACACACTTCAAAGGATTAGAATATGCTTCAGTCTTACCGTTATAGTCTACTAAGACTATGGAAAATTAGAAGATTGGATATTATTTTGTCCATAAATAACCCCAACAGTACAACTAAAATGGTGAGAAACGTTTCCAAAGACAGGCAACAAAGGGGGTAGAATTCTATTCTCGACAGAAAAAGTTCAATGAAATTAAAGTCTTTCCTCCCCTTGTTTTTCCTATTATCCAACCTTCACCTGTCCAAATACTGTATATATCAAGCTTTCAGATATATATGAACCATAGGTCTTCAGTGAACACAGTAATACAAGTCATACATACAATTAGAAGTCTGATTCTGAATGCTTATATGTATCTACAATTGCTAAATTTCATCTGATTCAGTGATTAAAAATTCAGTTTCTCTCTAGCGCCTATACTGCATGTGGTCATGAACTTTCATTGTCTGAAAATGCAACATGCAAAAGTAAGAGAAGCTTTAAAAAGCCACACACCAACTGTCCTACACTACTTTGATCCTGGGCACATGAGAAGTAGTCAGGCCCTCTTAATAATAATAATCCTGGATTATACCTTGTTACCTTATTAGCAATGCAGTTCTGTACCCTGAACATTTTCAGTGACAGCATCCTCCTTATGAAGGAAATTTTTAAATAGGTCACTCCATTTCTAACTTCTTGCATAATGTAGTCAAAAATCAAAAACTTTTTAAAACTGAGAGGGTACTTCAGTAAGTCTAGTGTTCCCAGATATCGAACAGGTACAGGCAGAAGAAAATAACTAGGCTCATGTTGCTGTCTAGGGAAGGGGTGTGGGAAGAGAAGGGGGGGGAAGAAAACAAACAAACAAACAAAAAAAACACCACACAGAAAAATTCCTCCTGCGCTGGTCCTAATGCCAGATGAGACAGTAAGCTGCAGAGTTTTTGCAGGATGTCAACCAAGCAAAAGGATCCTAAGAAGCCACATTATGCTTGCACTTAAGGCCAGCTCTAATAAAGCTGGATTTTATAGCCACATACAGATCTTTTGATGAACACTTCCAGACACTCACACTCTCTCTCTCTTTTATATATATAAAAAAATTAAACAAAGTTCATTTAAATATGGTGTCCTTAGTGTTAGTTCCTTTCCTGAGAAGGACGGTAAATAAGCTTCCCCCACCATCACCACCAGGAACTTTCTAATGCATTTAACTAGCATTTAGATGCTAGGATTAAATGTTTCCCTGAGGTTAAACCCAAAAAAGGACACTGTGTGCTTTGATTAACTTTTCTTACATACATACTTGTTACTTCTTGTAAGAAATCCAGACAGGGTCGGCTACTTCCAGAAATACTTATTGAAACAGCCAATGGGGTCTGTCCTTCATAGTTCCTTGTGTTAGTGTCTGCTCCATAATTATATAACATTTGTGCACAAAGCACATCATCTCTAAGAGCAGACAAGTGTAATGGTGTCTGTCCATCTTCTAAGCGGCCCAAGTTTGTATCCGCCCCTCTCTGAAGAAACATTCGGCAGTAAGAGTGATTGCTTTTGATCACAGCGTATCGTAACAGGAAACCATTTTGAATGTCGATGTTGGCATTGTGATCCAGAAGGATTTTCACGCAGCTTGACCTCTCTCGGATAATGGCTAACTGAAGCGGTGTAGTACCTTTATCACTGAGCGGATCAACCTCAGCCTTGAACTCCAGCAGGAGTCTGACAAATGAGTCTCTGCCATAGTGGGCTGCTACATGGAGGGGAGTCCAACCATCATTGCTTTTTGCATTGATAATGTCACTTCTATATTCTGATTCCAACATCAAGCGTGCAATCCTTGCCCGGCCATGCATGGCAGCATAATGCAGAGCAGTGAAGCCTCCAATTAAGTCCTTAACTGTGGGATCAGCTAAAGTTAAAATACAAAACAAAGGAAAAAAGTTAGAGAGTACAAATAAAATCAAATGGCAGAATGTTACTCTTCAAGCAAATCTTGAAATAGTTTGACATGCTTCAAACTACTTCTTGCTTTTATAGACTATGTTCCAGATTTTTAAAAGTACGTAGGCATTACTTTACTTAGGAATCAAAATTGCCTAAATCCCTTTTGAAAATGAGATTTAGACTCCTAAATCAGTTAGATGTTGCAATGTTGAGTGCAGCAACACCTAGATACATTTAAAAATCTGGGCCTAAGTTCTATTTTAAGGAAGAGTCAAATGATTTATTTCGTTTAATAAAGGTAATCAACAAGAAAAAAAATGAAGTTATGTTTAAACACATGCATAGTTCTAGCACTTTTAAGCTAATTGTTCAAACTTCTTTGTCCACCTAGTTCCTTTCCAGCTCTGTAATGTCATGCTTCTTTCTCTGTTTTATTTTCCCTTGTGCTGCTTCTTGGTCTTAAAAAGAAGCATGTGTAGCAACATCTGCTGTCCCAAATTACAGATGTTTTGTGGTCTGGCAAGATGGTGTTGTTTTTAGGGTGTAATACTGTATTAGGTAAAAAGTTTCTCTGCGGTCTGTAGGATTTCCAAAGCATGTAAGATATATGTTATTTCAGATCATCTTGATAAAAGTCTGTTTTTATAAGATGAGACGTCTGTTCTTAATTTATAGTTTTACAAAAATTTAAGATTTTACAAGAATGTAAGCATCCCCTTATAGGGAGAAAAAAAAATAAAAAAAATCAGGAGATATGGCAGTGCTAAATTCGCAAGTGATTGGACAGTCCCGTCCCCCCCACCGCACCACCACCAACGGCATATAAATTCAGATAGCGTACGTGTGCTCTCATATATTATAAAAATAAAAGAGAGAAAATAAATCAACCAGACCAAGTTACCTAATTCCACTCCTCACTCCTGGACACAGAGACACATCCCTTGCACCCCAAATGATTTTTCACAAGTCTTTCCTCACATGCACTTAACATCTTACTTTTAGCCAGCTAACTGGACTACGGAGCCTGTCCCAATACCATTCTTACCCAGCTGGCAAGGCTGCAAAGGGTAATCTCCCTCCGCCTTCACCTATGTGCATCACTTCGTAATGTGCTCAACTTCTACCAGTCTACAGCTTGGAAACCTGAGTCCATTTCCTAACCCAAGTCTCCTGGCTTATAAAGAGAGGTGCTGTCCACAGGGAAGACCAGCCTTCATTTGAAACCATCACATTATGCATTTCTACTGTGCAAAATCCTGACAGCCACATTGCTGCATTCTGACACTTCACTCATTGCATTTTCCCCATCCATACAGTGTTTGAAGAAGAAGGGGTGCAGACGGGGATATGATGGAGTGACCTTTCTTCCAGAAGGTCAAAGGACAGAACAGAGCTCCCTCTGGAGGCTGTCACCACCTCTTCCAATGTTGGGTGTTGTATGTGTTGCTCGGGATAAACACACTGGTTCCCTCATCCCCTACCACACACCCACCCACACACACGGGCAACTGTGTGTTCCTCATCCTTAGCAGAATGGGGAGTAAGACAACAAGCCCAATCTCAAATTCCAACCTACTGTGAAGGTACAAGTGGAGTTTGCAATATGATATGGCAGCAAGTTAGGTCAATGTAACGTTGGGTTAAATCTACAGAGGAATCCAGTCACAGAATGGAGAAGAAAAAGTTCTGCTTTAAATGGGTCTCAAGTGCCCACACCTGGAATCAGTTATGGACATCACCTCACCAGAAATATTGACAATTAAGACAGAATTCAGAGGAGAGCAACAAAAGTGATGAAGGCGCTTGAGAGTTTTTTTTTAAAAAAAATATAAAAACAGGAAAGATTAAGAGAGCCAAATAAGCATAGCATGGCTAAGCAATTAAAAATGGAGCAGTGCGGGGAACAATCCACAAAGGGTATTAAGGAACGGGAAGTATTATTGCCTGAGGTAAGTAAAGGGGGTAACTTGACATAATGAGATGAAATTAAGGACAAGTTTAGATTATGTATCAGGACAAAATTCCTTAGTGAGCTGTATTAGACAGTGGAATAGTCTCTCAACAGAAGCAGCAGAAGCCTGAGTACTTGAGAAGTTTAAAAATGAAACTGGTCAAAGATAACTGCAGGGAGCAGTCCTGTTTTGGCAGGAAGCAACTGGTATCTTTCCCAACCTGCTCTAAAATAGAGTCCACACCACTGTAGAGTCAAAAACACAAAGATATTAAAAATATCAATGATCAGCTGAAAAAATATTCTTCCCTGGATCAGCTGCTCCTAGACATCCTAGCTTCAGACTGCTCAGCCAATATTCTAGGTCAGTGGTTCTCAAAGCCAGTCCGCCGCTTGTTCAGGAAAGCCCCTGACGGGCTGGGCCAATTTGTTTACCTGCTGCATCCGCAGGTTCGGCCAATCGCAGCTCCCACTGGCCATGGTTCGCCGCTCCACGCCAATGGGGACTGCAGGAAGCAGCACAGGCTGAAGGATATGCTGAACCGCGGCCAGTGGGAGCCGCGATCGTCCAAACCTGCGGACGCAGCAGGTAAACAAACCGGCCCGGCCCGCCAGGGGCTTTCCCTGAACAAGCGGCGGCACTAGTTTGAGAACCACTGTTCTAGATCCTCTCTCAAATCACTCTCACTCCATTCTGTTTGATCCATTCTATCCATCAAGACACCTGCTTAAAAAGCTAACAGGTTATGGTGTACCTGTTACAGTAATGTAATAAGTCTATGCTATCTCTATTTCTAGACTCACCTAGATTAGCACTAGCAGCGTTTTTGAATTAACACCATTGGCTCTCAAACAAGGCCACCCTTTTGTAAGCGTTTCTTCCCCCTCTACCTCCAATCCAATTAAATTACTCCTAATTATATAAAGGCCAACCAAGAAGTAGCAAACTATGTAAGAGATATCACTGGAAAAAGTGAAGGAATCCAATCAATTGTGTAAATAAGCCACATGACTTAAGCTTTATGAAAGCCAATACGATGGACAGCACCATATGGTAATGATATTTTAATTCCCGTTAATATTATGGGTTTTTACTGGACCACTGGTACCAATTTTCTACTCAATTAAGTAGTCAGATCATTAAAAACAAACAAAGCGAAAAGACTGCCCATTATTGTTAAGAAAGCGCTTTGCTGCCATCTTGTGGACAAACTATTATGAGCTGCACATTGGGAGGATCAAAAGCACTCACTAAGGTTTTTTCCATTCCTACCATCCCACAATAAAATTAACATTGTGAAATTGAAGTCAAATGTATAACCCTGTTCATTCTAGGTTCCTCTCTTTGCACTGTTCTCGTAAGTAACTGTCCAACTCTGGAGGGCGAGCTCTGTTGTAAAGCAACTGGTCATAAATCTGGAAAGAATCTGTTTGAAGACTCGTTGTGATGTGTTTCCTCTTTCCCCTTCATTCCCCCACCAAAAAGTCCCAGGACTGTTACTAAGAGCAGGTCTACACTTAAAATGCTGCAGTGGTGCTGCGTGGCTGTAGCGCTTCAGTGAAAATGCTACTATGCCGACAGAAGAGGTTCTCCGGTTGGCATAGTTATTCCACCTGCACGAGAGGCGGTAGCTACGTCGACGGGTAGCTATGTGTACTCCTGTTATTCCAGGCTTGCTTCCTTCCAGAGACTTACTCACCACAGTGCTGCCTGCATAGGATTTCCTAAGGCAATACTGGCACAAGGAAGCTTCAAGAAATGCACTAATCTTCATCCACAAAGATACATCAATCTAGGTGAACAGTATTTCACACATTCTAGTTTCTCCTAGATTCTGTAAGGTCTTACTAGATTTAGATATGGTGTAGTCAAATTTTCATAGAATAGAAACTCCTTTAGGTCACTCGCTACTCTGGATTTTCAGCAGTTTCTTAACAAATTCCTTTTGGTGTCAATGAGTCTTATCACCATTACTTTGGTACACATAACCAAACAGTGTCCTTACTCGCCTAGTGTATTACTGGAATAGAAAACACACAAGAGAGCTAACTGCTGTGCACCCTAAAGATCCTAGCTGGCTATGATTCAGAGGGCTGTGCACTAGCACAGCATAATTCTTCCCTTAATTTACTGCACACACAAAATGGCTTAGCATGAAATTTAGAAAGCACAAATATACCAGAGGGGAAAATTTTGCACTGGCTAAGAGGATGGATCAGATGACTTCTCTAATTTTCTATGATTCTGTGAACCATTCTGTCCCTCTCGCTTTCCTGTGCTGCTCCAGTGGGACCACTGCTCCTTGCTGCTTGGATTGCTCTTGCAGATTCCGTTTGTCATCATGTTTTCATTATACTGAAAAAGAGCTGTTGGAAGACCCACACCTCTGAGGAATCCAAACGGTCTGTGAGCTATGCTTTCTCCACTCTCCTTGCAGACTAAGTCTCTCCACTGCTCTACCATGCCATCAAATTGCTAAGAAATACCTTGCAACTCTGCTGATCTGGTATATTCTCTTTGCATTTGGTTGCTCCTTCTGCTGGTTTCATCCTTGTGTCTGGGCCAAAGGACTGGCATGAATAAAGGAAAACACTAACATACAATTCACTCTATATACAACTAACACACTGATGAGCTGGATGGTTTACTAGCTGATACAATGGTCAATCTACTTCTAGATGACCAACTCCCACACTGTTAGAGTCTCTTCCTCTTCAGGTGCCTAGTTACTCAACTTTCCAATTCCTCCGACTGCATTCTTCTACACTGCTGCCAGCACTAGGCTATTTCATTACAGATAATTCTCACCTGGCAAAAGATTTATTAAAAGCAATAAATAAAAAGGGGAAAAATAGCAGCCAGTCAGTAGCATTTTTAGGAAAATGGTTATAAGAGGATGTACTGAAAATGAAAAGACAAGTTTACAGAGCTTGTAAATCTGGAAAGAAAGTCAAATTTATAAGATTGCGAAGATTTTTATATATCTCAAATCAAGTACTTGAAAACTGGGAAATGCCAGATTGAGGGTTGCCCGTGCAACTTAAATTCTGACTCCTAAGTGTGGCATTTTCTAATTTTAAATTGCTTTACTTTGCAACCTAAACAACATTCTTTTAAATGTAGTTTTTATCTGTAATATATATGAATGTGTCAAATAATGCAACACAAACTAGGGGCCTGATCTCATTCACTGTTACTCATGTGAGTAGTATTTATTAATCAATCAGATGGTTCATGTGAGTTTCTATGGGATGGGAAGATAGTAAAAATTTAGCAAACTATCTGTCTGATTTATGAACAGTGTTAGGGAGTTCAGAAGTTCCATCTAGCCCTTCTATGCCAGAGAGAAAGTTTAATGGGGCAGCGCTCTTACTGGGGATGTGGCACGCCCATCTCTCCCACTCTGTACGTTGTTCAGTGCAAGGACAACAAGTTCAATCCACTGACTTCTAAAGTCTAGGAGTTTTGGTAAAAAAGACTAAAAGTAAGGAGTGCTTTCTGTCCTAAGTACTATGTACATTTGCTCTATTATTAGTGATGTGCTTTGCCTCAACTACCTTTAAGTGACTCAAGAAAAAGTGCTTCCTTAAAAGGCTTCCATATTTTGACAAAAGTCATTAGGAGTGATATTTACCTTAAACTTTACTTCTATTGATTCTCTCTTACACCGTATATACTCGATCATAAGCCGGTTCGTTTATAAGCCAACCCCTCCCCCCCCCCCCAAGATGGATAAGTAAAAATGGAAAATTTTTATAACCTGTTCATAAGCCGACCCTATAATTCGGGGTCAGCAAACTTTGGCTCCCGGGTTTATTTACCTCGAGAGTCCGCAGGCATGGAGGTAAACCTAAGTAAACAAAGTGTCCTGACACGCCAGCTGCTTACCCTGACAGGCTGGGACAGCAACTGGTGGGGAAATTTTGGGGGGGGGGGGGGAGAAGCTGGGAGTCAGGGGAGTAACCCCTGTGACCACCCCCCACATGACCCCACCCCTAGCCCGAGACCCCCACACTCTCCCCAATCCCCATCCCATCCCTTCCCACCTTATCTGGGGAGAATGTCTCTGACCTGGCTGGAGCTGCTCCGACAGGCTGGGCAGCGCGGCTGCAGTCTGCTCCGGTGGGCCAGACCAGGCAGCAAGGCCGCAGCATGTTCCTGTGGGCTGGGCCAGGTGGCGTGGCCACAGCCTGCTCCAGGGGGCGGGGCCGAGCGGCATGGCTGCAGCCTGCCAGCCCCGGAGCTGGAGCTGCAACTGCTTCGGAGGCTGCAGGGAGAGCAGCATGGCCAGAAGCGGAGAGACTCTGGCCCCGCCTCTTCCCTTCTGGCTGTGCTGCCTCTCCTTGCTCCCTCTGTTGGGGGGAGGGGCTGTGTCCCACCTCTCTCTCTATACCCATTCATAAGCTGACCCCCTTCTCTGGTGCTTCCCTTTTTTACTAAAAAATTCGGCTTATGAACAAGTATATACGGTACTATGCTAACCAATTGCTTGTCTTTGATGTTTTACCCTTTCAAATCGATAGTTACAAATATGGCCTTGTCTTCACTCTGAAAAAAGGAGCATGCGTAACTCAAATTAGCTAACTTGAGGTAAAATCCTAGTGAAGACGAGGCAGTTTATAATTTTCACGAGTTATTAGAAGACCAAGCTAAAGTCTATGGGAAAGCCTAGTCTTTAACATGACCTACTGGCTCAAGTTAGAACTACAAGGTGCCTTGTGTTCAGCACTTACTAGGATTTTATCTATAGTTTGCTAACTCAAATTAAGAGCACATCTCCCTTGTAGTGCAGACAAGGCCTACAAAAGGTGCCGTAAATTCTCTCTTACTTTCTATCTAGCTCTTCCCTACTCACCTACTTTTATAACTGCTTATTCATTTTGATAATTGCTCCCTGGCAATTTTGAGAACTAATATAAAAGGCTAGACACTTTGCCAGCTCATTCATGGAGACAACATCCAAAACAAGTAGAGTGGAGACAGAAACAAAGTACCACTCCCAAGAAACAAATGAGGCAAACGAGAAAGTTACTTCAGAAATAATCTGATACCAATCTGGAAATGGAAGACTTTTGAATGGAACCCAAGACCTTTTCTCTCTGTGCAACTCACCTCCGTGTTCAAGAAATACACGAACACATCTCTCTTTCCCTCTTGCTGCAGAGAAATGAAGCAAGGTCCAGCCATTGGCATCTCGACCATTTGGAGAATAGCCCTGTTCCAACATCTTGCGCACGGTGTGAACATCCCCAGCAGCTACTGCCGCCTGAATCTGCAACTCTTCCTGTAGTTCAGGGTTCCTCCGACAGTGATGGTGTAACATCCTAGCTGAGTCTGCTTCTTACAAAAGTGTCATGCAGTCACACTAGTCACCTTTAATCAACATGGAGCATACATAAATTAGAACAGGGATTGAAAAAGAGACGATGCCTTAAAAAAAAAAAGTCAAGAACACTTGTTAAAAATGACACCATGCAACAATTCTTATAGTACACACTCAAACTAAGACCATTATAATCACAGGATCAAAGACAGTCAGACACAAAGGCTTGGTCCACACTGGGGCGGGGGATCGATCTAGGAAACGCAACTTCAGCTACGAGAATAGTGTAGCTGAAGTCGACGTTTCCTAGATCGAATTAAGTGTACTTACTGCGGGTCCACGCGGCGCAGGCAAGCTCCCCCGTCGACAGCGCCTCCTCCTCTCAGCGAGCAGGAGTTCCGCAGTCGACGGGGGAGCACTTCTGGGATCGATTTATCGCATCCAGATGAGACGCGATAAATCGATCCCAGAAGATCGATCTCTACCCGCCAAATCAGGCGGGTAGTGTAGACCAAGCCAAAGACTAGGGAAGAGAGATAGCAGTAGGGTTTCTAATTTTTTCATCCCAACAGAAAGGGATACTTATACATTTTGGGATGCCTTTAACATTGTACAAAGTTCTTTTTACTGCAATGGCAGTGTATAAGAGTGAATAATCAACAATAAGTGAGGTTTAAAAAAAAAAAACTCTCTTAATGACTAAACTTCACACGATGGTCAATGCTTGCAATTCTGGAGATATCATGCCAACTATACCTAAAGTAGAAGAACATATTAAGTACTTTATGGCACTGGCAGAGAAACAGACAAGATAATCTACTAGGTCTTTTTGCCTTTTTTTCCCCCCACTTAGAGATGTGTGTGTTACCTACAAGATCTACAAGTTTACATAAATGAACACATCATTTGATTTATTTTATCTTCTCATGTGACCTACCTAACAGGAATGTCAGGATGACTGTGCAGTACCTAAAAAACAGTATATGTAAGCATTACATTAATTCCTGATTAGGGCCAGGAATCTGTTATGATTCTAAATTGTGAAATCCTTATTATTAACTAAAATCTGTAAAGAACCTTCCTATTGTGAGGGTTCGATATGAAGGTAAGATTATGAAAGATCATGAACACAGAACTACTGTTAGTATACCCATTGAAATAAATTATTAAAACTCCAATAAAGGGCTTAAAGCTGTTTATAGGTCATTTAAGAGATAATTCTCTCAGTAAGTTTCCTGTACTCTCATTGGCCACCCATTTTCTACTATTCCAGATATAAACACAGTTGAGAGAAAAGTGAGAATGTCAAACATTGCCACGCTTTCTGTATAAGGGCCTTGATATCTAGTCTTTTCTCAGTAAGGTTATGTCTGTTACAAGAAGTTATTGCTAATGTGCAGGCTGCCTACAGAACTATCTGTAGCAAAGAATGTGGAAAGAAAGATGAGATGTACTGAGAAGTTACAAGGAGCCGCCTAGATGCAGATGGGATTTAGAAATAACAGGTATGTTCCTATTTTGATAGGCATATGATTAACTAAAAAGTTCACACAAAAGCTGTTTGAAGGAAGCTAGTTTCTGAGTTTGCTTATGATTTCTTCTACTGTGGCATTATTTAAGAATATATAAGAATTTTCAAGTGTTTTTAAAGAGGGAACATATTGGATATTTCCCTCCCATTTGAAAATGCTCCCCGGGATAATACTGGTCACTAAAGAGGATACCAGAGCTCAAGTATTTAAAAACTGCTTATACTAGTTTCCTTTAATGTGCTGAGCATACAGTAACAGATGTTTTCAATTAAAGGCGTTAATAACATAAGCTCACTATGGTGAAGAGTTAAGAGCTACAAATTAATTCCCAATTTCTTAAAACAGTAGGATTTCAAGCATAAAGTAACCGACCCATGGAATAAATGATCAGGGTAAATGATGGAATGGGAGTAGAATGCAGTTAAGAATTTTTAAAAGCTTTTTCTGGAGAACGAGTAGGATGAGAATATAGTTGGGAAGTGGGGCAAGAGCATATGAAAGGAGGTTTTGAATCAAAGAATGCTGGGATTTGGGGTTATTAGGTTTGATAGTCTTTCCCCTCACATCCCTGTAATGTCTCTGCCATGTTTCCCGTCCTCTATTCTACCATGATTACTTTATTTCCTTCTTCCAGTTCTTCCTTTTTTTCTGTCTTAACTCCCCCACTTTAAAAAAGCAGATGTTTAGAAGTACGTACTATATTGTCTGTGCTTATGGTAAGAAGAGTGGTTATGAAAAAACACCACCTGCTTACTCTGCTCCTGGCACATATTCAGAATCAAATCTGCTTAATCTGGTGACAAAGGGCCTTATCCAAAGTCCACTGAAGTCAATGGAAGTCTTTCCATTGGGCTTTGGATCAGGTTCCAAGCCATTTTTTTCCCCCTTTTATTTTTTTAAACTCCACTTAGCACTTCAGAGCCAAGTCACCTCCCAGAGAGAGAACTGGATTCTGCCCTGGATCACATATCAACAGTAGTGTTAATGAAGATTGAACTGCAGGGCCAAATTCTTCCCTTCATTACATTTGTGCAAGTCTACTGAAGGCACTGGGGGTCACTAGCATAACTAAGGGTAGAAACTGACTAGAAAAACCTTGAGTGGTGATATGCATGAGCTGGGGGACGGGGGGGAGAAATACATGCAGCTTGGCGCTCTGATCTGAGTTTGAATTTGCAAAACTGGAAGTTATTAAAACTTGTTACTCAAAATGAGGATGTATGTTATGGAAATCACCAAAATGGCATCACATATCACCATTTCTACAGTATCTCTTGGCAGAGGAGCAGCACTTTTAGGTCACATTATCCCAAGATAGATGAGTACCATGCTAGTCACTCAAACACTACAGAGTCAGGTACTTTGGGAGAGAAGGGGAGGAAAGAAATGGGAACCTCTCTTTAAGGAATCAGCACTAAGTTTCCAAATATCTTTTAAGGCAGCTGGATAAGAAGTCGAGATCCTTATAATGCTGCTGGCGTCTCAGCTGGTGGGAATATTTGTAATGCGATGTTATAAAAAGCTGGCACTGGCCCCACACACTGCTTGCAGCTAGCGCGTATTATTCAGTTTAGCTAGACCAAGCACATGCAGGGTAGAAAGACAAATTAAATCACTGGCAGCTTCTTTTACCACTTGTAGACCCTTTACACTTACATTTCATCCCCTCAACCAGTACTGAAACTCAGATTATGCCATGTTAGAGTAATAAACATTTTGAGGTTTCAGGACAGCTGTAAACACACACCAATTTGGAAACTACTTTCATTTTAACTTCAAAAGTTCTTTCAAAATCCTTATTTAGGGTATCAAACTTTGGAGTGGGAGAGAGGGCTAAAGGAAGCCTTGAGCCATTTGGCATTTAATATTTAATATTTGCAGTTATAGTTAATCTCCCTTATAACAGAATTGTATGTGGGTGGATTACCACAAATTGGCTTTCTTCATGCAAGAAAGGGACATAAGATGTACCTGGAAATTCCCACTTGCCATGATTTGTACAGCATCATGCAAACAGATGGCAAAACAAATTAATTGATTTGCAAGTACAGCATGGATGAATTCAATCCATTCCTGAAATATTACCTTACAGGAAGCTGTCGCTGTTTTTGATGTGTGTTCTACTCTTCATGTTCCTCGTTATACATAATCTTGTGTGCCCATATAACATTTCAAACAAGCTGCTACCCCTTCAAAAGAATAATATATTCTTGTTAGATACAAAAATAGATTAAACAGAAAGGGTCTGTCTGCTTTTACATTGCACCTGGTTTGTAACCTCATGTCATCGTAATGCTGTTATGCTAAAAGAGGTGTCAGGTCAGTTCTTATAAGACGTCTATCTGTTATGACAGATAGTCTGTTGGTTGCCCAGGTTGGAGTTCACTTTGATTCAACATCAGTCAGTCTTCCAGGGTATTTTTGTCCTGGTGGAGGGGAAGAAAACAATAGAGAATTTTTTTTTGAAAAGTATGAGTGTAGGTAGAAGTTTCTCTCTTTCCCCCAGTAAACTGAACAGTGAAAAACTAAGTTGAATTCTCTCCTGGGGATTCAACAGGGGAAGAAGAAATCCTCCTCACCCCCAGCTGTGGAATATGAGCAGATGCAAATCCAGCCTAAAGTAGGCTCTACTGCCACAGTTCCATGCACCCACCCCAACAGGATGCAGAGTCTGAAAACAACTGGAGGACAAGTTTAGCCCCTCCCTCCTAGCTACCACTGTTACCCACTGCCGAATTAGTTTTTACATGTTAGGACTTAAGGGATAAACCATTCTTTTCAAGTACAATATCTGCATCTTCTTTCCCACTTCCCCTCCCAAGATTCATTTTGTCCCAGTTCAAGGCCTCATGGGCCTATTATTTAATATGGTTCAGCACATAAGTGCAATATCAATGCTTTGTCTGATCGGAACCTTTGCAACACCTAAATCCCTGGAATCATATAACTAAACCAAGGCTTTGCCTCTTCAAATTTTCCTGAACATACTTTGGGGATATTTTTATTAAACAAACCCAAAACTCAACTTCTGAAAGTGTTACAGGATCAATATACTCACTAAAAGGGCAATTCACTTGACTTGGACGTCATTAAGCACTGCTCTCTCCCTGATTGCTCTACTGCGGAGTTCTCCCCGCTCTGACCATCAGCTCCTCCCCTCCCCTCCCCCACAAAACCCTGTCAATCTGCCTTTCTGAGACTTTCAGTTCATAGGCACTGACGAGATTTCATCTTCTCTCAGCACTCTGCTTTCTTCCTTCCATTGATCTGGTTGTCAATTCTCTCCATACTTCATTCACACCCCTTGACTCCTCTGTCTCTCTTTCCCATAGCAAGGTCCACCCTGTCAACCCCCAGCTCTGGCTCATCCCCACCATCCGCCTTCTCTTCTACTGCTCTCCTATTGTGGAGCATCTCTGATGAAAATTCTGTGACAAGGCTACAAATTCCACTAAAAATTCATTCTCTTCTCTTTCAGTTCTGCCATCTTCCTAGCTAAACAACTCTATTTCTCCAACTCAGTGAATCCCATGCCCACAATACTAGCCACCTTTTCCTCACTCAAAACCTTCCCTTCTCCTGCCTCCACTTCTCTCTTGAAAATTTCTTCCAAGAGAAAGTTGACAAAATATGAGACTTTTCCCATCTGCTCATCCTGCCTTCCGTTCTCCTACAACTCTCTCTTCTTTCTTCCCTGTCACAGATGCAGAAGGTTTGTCTTCTGCTCACCTCCTCTAACTCAACTTGCTCCAATGACCACATCCCAGCTCCTGAACTCCCTCGCGCCCACTCTCATTCCCTTGCTTACTCTTCTCTAACCTCTCATTCTTCTTTGGCTCTTTCCCTTCACAATACAAGCATGCTTTAGTTTTTCCCATCTCAAAAAACCCCCACCCGCCTCTCCAACTACTGCCCCATCTTCCTTTCATCTAAGCTCATTGAACACTCTGTCCACAAATCGCTGTTTGGAGTTCCTCTCCTCCAGTTCCATCCCAGACACTCTCCAATCCAACGTCTGCCTCTTACACTCCACTGAAACCACTCTCACCAAAGTCTGATCCTCTTGATCCAGTCAGCCACTTCTAACACCATTGCTCCTCTTCTTGAAATTTCATCCTTCCTTGGCTTCTGTGACTCTGCCAAGTCCTGGTTCTCTTCTTAGCTCTTTAATCTCTCCTTCAGCATGTCCTTCAAAGGATCCTCCTCATTCCCCATTTCTGTGACGGCCCCACTGGGCTCCTTGGTTCCCTTCTCTTCTCCCTCTACACCTTCTCTCTGGTTAACCTCATCCAAAAACATGAATTCAACCACCACCTCTACTCAGACAACTCACAGGTTGTCTACTCCAAACCTGTCTTTCAGTCCAAACTAAAATCTCAGCCTGTCTCTCTGACACCTCTTGTCGATGTCTAGCTGTCAGCTCAAGCCCAGCATAACCAAAATAGAACTCTTAATTTTCCCCTCAAAGTCTTCCCCATTACCTCCCTTTCTCAGTCACTGCAGACAACACCAACAGCCTGCCTATCACTTTGGCCCAAAACCCGGGAATCATTTTCAATTCTGGCCTCTCTCCAGGTCCTCATATCCAAGCTATGTCTAAATCAGGGATTGGCAACCTTTGGCACACGGCCCTCCAGGGTAAGCCCCCTGGCGGGCCAGGCCAGTTTGTTTACCTGCCGCATCCACAGGTTTGGCCGATCGCGGCTCCCACTGGCCGCGGTTCGCCGCTCCAGGCCAACGGGGGCTGCAGGAAGAGGCGCGGGTGCTGGTCACCGCTTCCCGCAGCCCCCATTGGCCTGGGATGGTGAACCGTGGCCAGTGGGAGCCGCAATTGGCCGAAACTGCAGATGCGGCAGGTAAACAAACCAGCCTGGCCCGCCAGGAGACTTACCCTGGCGGGCCGTGTGCCAAAGGTTGCCGATCCCTGGTCTAAATCTTACAGATTCCTTCTGCATGACATCTCTAAGACATGGCCTTTTCTAGCCATTCACCCAGCTAAAACCTTTGTCCAGGCTCTTATCATCTTACATCTCAATTACTGAGACATACTTCTCTCAAGCCTGGACAAATGCAACCTTACCCTGCTCTCATCCATTCAGAATGCTGGAAAGATCATTTTCCTAATCTGTCACTTTGACAATGTCATATCTCTCTCTTTGCATCCCTCCACTGGCTTCCCCTTCTCTATCCGATCAAACATAAAGCTACTTGTCTTCACTTTCAAGGCCCCTCACAGCCTATCCCCATTCTACCGACCATTTCCCATTCATTATCAAGACGTTAACTCCCCCTTCCGACTGACACATGATGCCAACCTTCATCAACCATTTTTTACATTTCCAAACAAGCTCCTTCTTGCTTTCTCCCATGCTGTCCCTCATGCTTGGGAGGAGCTCCCCATGAACATCTGCAAAATGAACATGTTATCCTTATTCAGAACTGCTCTTTGTCCGTGATGCCTACAAAAAGTTTGCCAACGGCTAGGCTGCTGTGTGCTGAGCAGGGCCGGTGCAACCACTTAGGCAAACTAGGCGGCCGCCTAGGGCGCCTAGTGGTTGAGGGTGCCTAAAAGCCCGCTCAGGCGAGGAGGTGGAGTGGAGCTGAGCTGGGGCGTGGGGAGGGCCGCCCGCAGTAACGGGGGGGTGCACAGGGGAACTGCTCCCCGCCCCAGATCACCTCCACTCTGCCTCCTCTGCTGAGCACACAGCCCCCGCTCTTAGTCTCCTCCAATCGGCACCGCAAGCCTGGGAGGGGAGGAGAATTAGAGCAGCGCCGGCGTGCTCAGCGGAGGAGAACTGGAGTGGGCTCCCTGGGCAGGGTTAGCTGCCACGGAGGGGGGCGGGGTTAGCTGCCGCGGAGGGGGCTCCCCTGGCCGGGTTAGCTGCCGTGGAGGGAGGGTTTGCAAGGGGGGTGGGCATGGTTAGCTGCCACGGTGGGGGGGGGGATTAGCTGGGTGGGGGGATGGCGCATGGTGGAAGTTTCTCCTAGGGCACGAAACTTCCTTGCACCGGCCCTGGTACTGAGACCACCATCTTTCATGCTGACCAATACGGTTTCCTTGTTTTCTTGTGCTCCCCACGTGTCTGTATCCACCTGTTGTTGCTGGTCTTATACCTAGATTGGAAGCTCTTCAGGTCAGGGGCATCTTTTTGTTGTGTTTGTATATAGCCTAGCACAGGGGTCAGCAGCCTTTCAGAAGTGGTGTGCCAAGTCTTCATTTATTCACTCTAATTTAAGGTTTCGCGTGCCAGTAATACATTTTAACGTTTTTAGAAGGTCTCTTTCTACAAGTCTATAATATATAACTAAACTATTGTTGTATGTAAAATAAATAAGATTTTTAAAATGTTTAAGAAGCTTCATTTAAAAATTAAATTAAAATGCAGAGCCCCCAGGACCTGTGGCCAGGACCTGGGCAGTGTGAGTGCCACTGAAAATCAGCTCGTGTGCGTGCCTTTGGCACGCGTGCCATAGGTTGCCTACCCCTGGCCTAGCACAGTGGGGTCCTGGCACATGACTAGGGCTTTTAGGCACTACAGTAATACAAATACATATTAAAAGCATCAATTGTTCCACTATGTAGCAGATCATATAAAACAAAGACCTTGGCTCTGTTGTTTCTTGTATTGTGCCACTGAGCTGGACCAAAATAGTTACAAGAGACGTGCAATTTAGTTGCACAAACTTTTAACATAGCAAGATTAATTTTTTGCGTTTTAAAAGTAGCTGAGGGGGGAAAAAAACAACCCTATCATTCACTATATTTTTGCCTTTCAATGCATAAAAAGCATCACACAACTAGAGAGATGATCACAGACCCTGCTCAAAGTTGCAGTGCAATGACCTAATTCGATCACATTTCTAAACTTGTTTGTGCATCACTGATCAGCCATTAGTTCTCTTTTTGTTTTTGCGTGATTTTCACTTTAAAAATCCACACATTTTCTATTAGCTGATATAAATTAGAACTGCACTGATTTCACAGACTAGAGGCAAGGTAACAGCTTTCTCCACTAAAAAAAAACAAGCTTTTTTCCCAGAGGAAAATAAGCTGCATATGGCAAAAGTAAGATCTGCAAACTTAATGAAGAGTGATTTTACTGAGTGCAATAACTTAAGTTCATATATTAAAAGGATTTACAAAGGTTGATTAAAATACTTCACCAGACTAGCAGATTATATCAGAAATAGAATGGTAACCAAAATCTGGCAAATTTGTCTTGATTATCCACCAATGAGTGCTCTAATGTTGTTGCAGAGCTTATAATTTGAGAATTTTCTACATGAATGTGTTCTGTATTAAATAAGGAAGGAACCTAAATGCAAATACTATGTGGAAAATTCTGACATCTCTTATTAGGTTTTCCCCTTACAGGAAATTAGTGTTCATGAAAATGAGATCTGAGAGCAAAAGTTATTGAAGTGTCTTGTGCATCTAGATGGCAAAATAGGTAGCAATCATCCCCAGGCCATAAGGTTCTGCATCAGGCCTGTGCCTTATCATCTTATTGCTGGCACTTTAATACCACACTAACATGAGTAGTATACTATTATACATGATATCGCTATGTCCACATGAGACACTAACTCTAGATCCCGTCTGTCTCTTGTTGAAGTTAAATATCCAATAGCACTGTATTCTCTATTATCTAAAAAACAAAAAAAAATCATGACCAATATTCTCTCCTCAGAACCCACTTGCCCATTACAAGACATTACCCAGCTAATATTGGCTAGTTTAAATGCCAATTGATTTACAATAAAAAGTGTCTATATTTGACAGTATATTTTGCACTTCTCCATCACCCTTCAATTGTTGCTCATTTTCCTAGGCTGCAGTCTATTAAAGGCAGGGATTGCATCTTTCTGCATCTACATTATCATTTGTGCTCTTGTACCAGTACGTCCCTCGGCCCACACCGCTTCCAGCAGCTCCCATTGGCCTGCAGCAGCGAACCGCGGCCAGTGAGAGCCGCGATCAGCTGAACCTGCGGACGCCGCAGGTAAACAAACCGGCCCAGCCCACCAGGGGCTTTCCCTACACAAGTGGCAGAACACGTTTGGGAAACATTGGGCTAGGGTATTCTTCACTTCCCATCTTAAGCTGTTGTGTGGCATTGCTACGCACTGTTAAACAGCTGTTGTGTTGTTACACTCCACAGGTGGCTGCATTTCAATGGTGGGTGAAGTACCTACCTATATGTTTATTTATGTCACAAAGGTTTTGTAAGGATTATTTGATGGGCTAGATTTGAAAGAATTGGTAAATTACATCTCCCTGCATAACTCAAGATCCCTGTGCTGGAGAACAGGAAGGGTAGGCAGTGCTTCTGCTGCTAATCAACCTCATGGTTCCTGCCAAGGAAATGGGCAGCTTTAACTGCTGCTGGAGTTCCACTATTAGAAGCACCTGAGAGGAATCCAAGGCCATAAACTCTTCTCTGACAGGGCCACAATGGCCCTTATGGCTCCCTTAGTATACGGAAGGTTGTAGCAGTTTTGTGCAGCTGCAACCTCTTCCTTCAGAATCTCCACGAGAGTCTAAACCGACAGACTGTAAGGTGAATCTGGCTCAGTCTGCCAAGTGTTTTGAGATCCTTAGAGACAGACGGTGTAAGGCCTAGACACTCCTCTTAGGTCCAGTGGTGCAATTCTTATTTACTTCAGAGAGAGAGAGAGAGAGAGAGAGAGAGAGAGAGAGAGAGAGAGAGAGAAGCAAGGATAAAATTGACATGAAAATTTGGCCTCAAGAGTCAAGCACAATTCTGAGCAAATATAAATTTACATGACATGATACATACATAATTTTAACATATCACTCATTAAAAAAAAAAAAAAAAAGAAGACGATTCTTTGTATACAAATTTTTCATGGGCATAATTGCCTTTAAGAAATCATAATCAAATTAAAGCTGCTTGTAATTTCCCATGGAACTGACGTGAACATGTGACTTCTATCATTTAAATAGCTGAATAGTGACATTTCAATGAGATCAACAAGTAGAGAAAGAATATTTTGATACAGACTGAAATATCCAATCATTCTTAGAATACTTACAACACAGCTGATGCTGAATAAAAATAAGCAGCATTTATATAACCTGTTTCACCATCCAAAGATTTCAACTAAAGATTTATATTTGCTCAGAGTCTCATTTTAGAACGTCCTAAAAACCTGAATGGAAACAGTACAATGGACCACTTGGGTGGATAACACAACAGTTTTTAATTCATAACACAATTCTGGAAGCTAATGCTGAGGGCTCAACAATGGAAGACGGTCTCAGTCAGCAAGTCTTCCAGTTTCTAAGAGTCCACCATAAGAAAAACAAAAAAGGTAGTTTTATACAACTAGAAAGCACAACAGAAAAAAATCTATTTATCCTGTAAGCCTACATGTGCAGTCTTCCTTCTACCTAGGAAATAGCTGTACTTGTAGTACAGAGATCCTGATTTGGCCTTCAGTTTCTAACCCTGCTTCATTACTTGTCCCAACCAATGGGGTTTCAATTGTCAGCTAATTCCCTGATTGATAGTGATCACATTCACAAAACTGTACTTGTCACAAACTTTGCTGAATTAGTATTTTATGTTAAAAAAGGAACCCCACGAACAAAAATCAATGCTTGTTCACCGTATGAATGAATCCCAAAGAACTAAGGATTTGAACAAAAAATACAGCACATTTATGCTGGAGGTTTGCACCAGCCTAGCTACATCAGTGAAATTACGCTGGTGCAAGATTCCCTCATGTAGCCCATGGGTGCACACTGAATATATGCAGCAAACACATTCTATAGCAGTATGCGTATGATTTTGATCATACACCATAACCATGAATGACAGGTAACAGAGTACTTCCTCATTGTACTTTTAGAAAATCATCTTCTAAATCTTATTTGACTTGCATGGCTGTTAAGTTTTTGTTTAGCCATTGATATATAACAATTATGTTTGACCACGGACAATATGCACTAAGAATCCACCTATATTAGGAAAGTGATCAATTGTTGACCAATGTTGTCAGCAAAAAGTACAGCCTACCCCCTCTGAAACTGATGCTGAAAAAATGTGACTGCTAGTGAGGACTGGGTGAAACCTTTTTCAACACATTTCAAAAAGTGCAGTAGACTCTAGCAGTACTGATACTTTCTATAACTGTGGAAAAGCTTAGCCTCATCTAAATTTGCAATTTCAAGACTGTCTTAAGAGGATTCTTCAGAAAGCCAGTGTCAACAGTGGGTCATTTTCCTAATATAGATAGACCTAGAAGCTATGCTATTGTATGTTACCAGTTAACTTGGATTATAACAATGATTTTAAATGTATTCAATTCGGTTTCCTTTTTCTCTATCACAACGCACAGCTCCTCTTAAGGTAAATGAAACGTATAAATGTTTTGAATAAGGAGAGGACATATTTAGATGTAGATTGACAATGAAAAGAAATATAACTAGGAACTCCATCAACTGGAGCATACTACGAAAGGGATGGTTCCAGAGTACTTAGGAAATCCTTTCCAATTATCATCTACAACTTTCATGTAAATCTGGTCTAGGCTTTAAGATGGGCCAATAATATCTTTCTCCTACTCATATCTTCTTCCATGTAGACCCCTACCCCCGAGCCACTCCTCTCTTCTTTTATCTCTTTCCTTCAAAAAAGACTTCCTCCTCACAACCACTTCCACTCTCTCAGCCTATCAAACTTACCCTTATTCTCATAGTAACAGTATTTGCACACAAACCACTGAATTCTCAAGATACATGCACTACTCACTGAAGCAGTCTCAATCTTATTGCTGCAATGCTCATATTCTCTATTTCCCCCCTGACTCTGTTCAATTCTTATTACCACCCTAACATGACTCATCATGTAATATCTATTTAGATTGCAAATAATTTGGGATAGGGGCATAGTATTATTTGTTTGTAAAGTACACTTATTGCCCTGTGCAATTAGCCAACCAACAACGGGAATGATTTCTATGCAAGAAGATTTTACTGCAAATAGTCGGGAAAATCATTTAAATAAGATATAAGCTCAAACACTCAATATCATCAGAAACAATGCAAATGGTCAAGTTACTTATAAATATCTAACCAGAATTTCTGGCAGAAAAAATAATAAATTTAACAAAACTATATACTAAGGCAGCTTTATCTCTTCCAACTGCCACCCTCCCTTGTTTATCTAAACCCTTGTAAATCCTTTGCTATCAAAACATTTTTGAATTAGTGTAAAAACAAACACTTCCCAATAGCATTTTGAGTTGCAACGAACAATAATATTTGATTCTTCTGTGACTAAGTCTGCAAAGGCCAAGATACATCAAGAAGGTCTGAACTTGTAAACAATCAATTGATTGATTAGTATTCAGTGTTCACAAACTAATTGCAATACAATCTGTACATATACGCTTTATACACATTAAGAATTACAGACATAATTGTAAGTAAGCCATCAAAATGCATTTACTATAACCTATGTTAGTAATGATTCTCAATCACTGCAGTTACTATGGAAGGTTTCCTTTGTGTGTATAGGTGGGAAGTAAGACAAGGGGAGGGATGTGTACAATTTTTATTTATTTTTAAATAAGGAGACCCAATTAACAATTGACAGGGAGTTTTTATAAAATTCTTAAAGAGAGAAGCCACAAAAGATCTTGAAGCCGCAGCCCACAAAAGTAAGTAAATATGTGCTATATTTAGCAAATGATAATGCAAAGCGCAGAACAATACACAGAGAAGGGAAGAAGTTCATTCCCTGTACTGCACAGTTATTTTACTTTTTCAAGCCAAATAGCAATTAGTTTTTAGAGAAGGGGGAAACCTAATCCTGCATACTCACATAAATGAGTCAACAGAACCAACAAGAAAGGGTTCCACAAACATCCAGACAAGGGTGGACATGCAGGGATGGCCTGGGATATGAGAGAAGAGTGAAGGTGGATTATCACCTTTATATTGAGTACTACTTTCACTTTTTCTTACTGTCTGTATCTTCTCCTTCAGATTCACAGCTTGCAAGTCTCCCCTGAGGCAGCTTGAGCCTGAAAAGAGAGAGGTAGAACTGAGCTATGCAGTGTTAGATGAATGAGAAGTGAAGGATAACGGGTGTTCATGTCCAAAACATTGTCACGGTTGGAGTAGGAGAATGGAGAGATAGGAAGCAAAGAGTATTGCCACAAAGTGGAAATTGAAAAGGAGGGGTAATCCATAGAGAATACTTGGGGTTTGAATGGGGTAGAAAAACAGCAGGATAGTCTGTCTCCTCAAAGTACAGTCTCATTGGGATTGAAGTAAGGGACAAGGACCATTAAAGGGTGGGCAGAGAATAACCCACAAATCACAGCTTCAGAGGAATTAAAAGGAGCAGCAAGCTAACAGCTGCCCTCCCCCTCTTCCCCAACAGCAGAGTCTCAGGAGCTCAGGGCAGAGGAGCAGACATCGGTGCGAGTTCCCCATCTTCCCGGGGGTGGTGGGGCTCGGGCTTCCGGCTTCAACCTTGGGGTGGCAGGCAGCAGGCTCTGTCCACTCAACAGCGGCTGTGAGCGGGCTCTGGGCGTGGGCTTCGACCATGTCTCTGGGCTTTGGCTGCACAGAGACAGGCTCCGTCCCCTAGCCACTGGGCTTCAGGCTCATCCCCCAATTGCCCCAGCCCCCATGCCGCCACCAGCCCTTCACCAATCCATCCCATCACCCCTGGCCCCTACTGCCTCCCTTCCTACCTCCCTATCTAAGGCGTAATTTGTCTCCCAGTTGCCAGGGTTGAGTAAGTGTGCTGTGGAAAGTGATATTTGTATGTTAATATCACTTTTCACTGCCTCCCAACTAGCTAACAAGTCTGCTGCTGTGAAAAGTGATATTAACAAACATACAAATATCACTTTTCACAGAAGCAGACTTACTAGCTAGCATGTCTAAAAAAAACCACAACCAAAAAAAAAATTGAAAAGAAACAACAACAAAAGACAAGAACATGCAAAGCATCTTATGTGTTTCTATTCTATTTAGGTCCAGTAAAGAATAGAGAAAACTGTACATTGTTATTATTATTGAGTCTGTGAAAAAAAAAAACCTACATAAATAAATTACTATGATTTGGACATGGATTTTTCCACATTTTTTCCTAAAGTTAATTAAATATTTTAGAAAAATTGTCATAGTGGCCACCACCAAGAGTTAGTGGCCACACTCTGAGGCCACCAAAGATTTTGTTGTGAGACCCCCCGAGAGTGGGGAACAGGGTGAAAGGTGGGGAGGGGAGCAATGTACAAAACAGAGTATTTCAAGGCATCTGAAAGGGGACAGTGGGGGCAGGGAAGGGTGAATCCCCTATAACCGAGTATCCAGGGAGGGATCAAAGGGGGGGAGGCATGGAGCAGATTTGTTCTTCTCCAAAACAGTCTTGGGAGGATAATGGGGGCAAGGGATACAGTGGGAGGAGAGGAGTACGTCTCCTTCAAGTGAGTCAGGGGGATGAGGGCAGGTATGGAATGGGCTAGTCCCCTCCATAGCAGAGTCTCAGAGGGACCATGGGGCACAGCGGGGGTGAGCCCCCCCACCCAATACCAAAGTGTCAAAGGGATCACGGGGCGGAGGGGGGGGGGAGCCGCCCAAGACCAGTATCCAGGGGGATGGGCTAGTGACCCCCCCAGCAGCCCTATGGGTCTGCAGTCTATTCCCCTCCCCCCCACCCCCAGCAGAGTCCCGTGGGAGTGGGCAGGGGGAGCAGCCCCTAGCGCGCAGCCTCGGGGCGGGCAGGGGGGAGGGGAGAGGAGGGGGCTTAGCCCTCCCGTAGCAGTGGCTGGGGCAGGCGCCCCCATGACGGAGTCTCGGGGCAAACAGAGCTTTAGCCCCCCGGCTGTTACCTGTCTCCTCCTGAGGGGGACGGGACCGGACCCGACCGGCGGCCGCTCCGCGGCCGCTCCCCCCACTGGCACTGGCTCAGGGGTGGGGGGAGCCGCAGACCCAGCCGGGGGCGTTGTGGGGACACTTTGCACTGACTGAGCCGCCCCCCTCCTCACTCCGGGGTCACTGGGCAGGGACTGACCCCCACCGCAGCCAATCAGCTGCCGCAGCCATAGTCCCGCCCCGAGCCGTAAACCACCGCC